TTCAAAGGCCACAAGGCCAGTTCACATGCAAGATCATATAGAGATATACAAGAGTCAAGCAAGCAAGAGCAAGAGTATATATATGCGAAGGTACAAGCAAGGTCAAGAGGAGAGCAAGTGAGGCAAGACAGGCACAAGACCCACTGCGTGCAGCAACGCTGATGATCACAAGGCGCAAGTGCCTTGGTGAAGACATCAGCAGTGTTGGCCTCAGAGGCCACGTACGCAAGTCGCAGCTGTCCACGCTGCTGTAGCTCACGAGCAAGAAAGTAGCGAGAGCAATGTGCTTCGTTCTGTGCTCCAGTCGCTGCTCTCGACACAAGGCCAGCATGGCCTTGTTGTCTACGTACAGGACTGGAGGAGAACGAGGCTGCTCTCCAAGGTCGGTCAGCAGGTAGGTGAGCCAGCGTAACTCCTGTGCAGCCATAGCCCCAGCGTAGATCTCAGCCTCACAACTGGAGCCGAGAACAGAAGACGAGCGGTAGCCCGCCACGAGACAGAGCCGGAACCAAGGCTGAAGGTGTAACCCTGTGACGACCGCTGCGTAGCCTGGTCGTCAGCCCAAGAAGCGTCTGCGTGCCCAGTGAGGACCACTGGACTGCGCCCTCCAAGCACTAGCCCCATGCCCGACGTACTGCACAAGTAGCGCAACACCCTCTTCGCTGCAGCCATGTGCTCTGGTCGGTGTCTCCCAGGAGCAACAAAGCGTGCGAGAATGCTAAGAGGGTATGCGAGGTCAGGTCGTGTGCAGGTCATCAGGTACATGAGGCAGCCAACAAGCTCTGCAAACGGGCCACTCGACTCTACGGACTCATCCGAAGGCAGAGCTGAGAGCGAGTGGCGAGTAGGCAGAGGAGTGGCCTGAGGCGAGGAGTACGTGAAGCCGAAGCGCTGAAGGACCTGCTGCACCATGTGTGACTGAGTCAGGGTAATGGTGCGGCGTGCTCTGTCCCGGGTGATCTGCAAGCCAAGGTAGCTGCGCAGTTCACCCAGGTCAGTGCACGTGTGTCTCTTCTGCAGCTCGGACTTCACGTAGGCGAGTCCAGCAGTGTCAGCTGTGGCAAAGACCAAGTCGTCGACGTACACGAGGATGTAGAACGGCGGCAGAGAGGTGTCGGTGCGCAGAAACAGCGACGGGTCGGCAGTAGAAGGAGCAAACCCAAGTGCCGCGAGCGTAGTCCTCAGTGTGTCGTGCCACTCACGTGGCGCCTGGCGGAGACCGTAGACTGGACGCCGGAGACTCCACTGGGTACCAGGAGGGAAAGACCCAGTGAAGCCAGGTGGGCGACGCAGCCAGATCTCCTCGTGCAGGCTGCCCTGCAAGAAAGCTGTGCTGAAGTCGAGAGAGTGCAGCTCGTAGTCACGGTGAGCAGCAACGTGCAGCAGAACCCGAAGAGTGGTCATCTTCGGGGTGGGGGAGAAGGTCTGAAAGTAGTCACCCCCTGCCGCTGACTGAAGCCACGAGCCACGTAACGCGCCTTGAAGACAGGCGGAGAACCCGGCGGCCGCTTCACCCTGAAAATCCACATGCCACTGACGATGTTCGCCCCAGGAGGGGGAACAGCGTCAACGTAGTGCCTGTGGACTTCCAGGAAGCCATCTCTGCATCCATAGCCTGCCCTGCCACTTGAGAGGAGTAGGGACCCTCTACTCGCCTCCGCGTAAGAGCGCGGAGTCGGGATGTCTGGTGCATCCGGGTCTCCCTCAGGGGCTAGCAGTACAGACGCGAGACGAGGTGAAGCGGCGGCCAGACACTGGGAACTCCTTCCTGCCTGTCCTCAAGGACGGTCCGTGCCAGGGCCACACTCACCCCCGACGGACGGAGGACAGGCGGACTCAGGACGCAGTGACATAGACTAGCAGCGTAGTCTAGGACGACAGCGCGCAGCAAAGTCGACAAGCTCAGTGACAAGGGCGGACGCAGCAGACGACTCGAAGGAGGGGTCAGTGACAGCAGTAGCCAGGAGACGCGTGACAGTAGGACTGGCAGCACGAAGAGGTCCGACTCCGGGTCGGCAAGAGCAGGAAGAGAGGAGCAGGAGGAGAGGCAAAGGGGCACGCAGAGGAGCAGTGGACGGACGCAAGTGACATCCGGTGCGTGCCAGGGACAGGAGGAGGACGCTGACCGCGACCCGCGACCACTAGCGCGCTCAGTACGAACAGGCGACACAGGACGAGACGCAGGCTCACGACGCTCAGTAAGACCTCCAGTCGGACCAGTGTAGGGAGAAGGAGCAGGCAAAGGGGAGGCAGGCTGTAGCTTTGGCTGTGACCGGACAGGCTGCGGACCCTCTAAGGGAGGAGGAGGAGGGTGTAAGACCAAGAACCTGCTGCAGGAGCGGAACGAAGTACGGTCGGGGCCGCGCGGCGACGCTAGAAAACACGCAGGAACAGCACCAGCAGCCCCGGCAGGAGCACCCACTCCAGCAGCACCTCCAGCAGCACCACCAGAAGCTCCAGAACCCCCAGCCGCAGCACCAGGAGCACTGTCAGTCGGACCGCCAACGTGCAGGCTCAGCGCCAACACCCTCAGCAGGACCAGCTCCAGGAGAACCCTCAGACCCAGCAGCTCCAGCACCCACAGTACGAGTACCGGCGGGACGCGCGGCAGCAGGACCCTCTGCTGCCGAAGAACCACCCACACCAGCAGCACGCCTCCAGCGCCTGGCAAACCACTCACGCAGCTCCTGTGGGAGAGAGTGGCTCCCGGCGAGAGAACGAAGCACCCCCAGGCACAGCACCTCCAGGCTCAGAACCCCTAGACACAGCACCCCCAGGCGCAGCACCCCCAGGCTCAGCACCCCCAGGCACAGCACTCCCAGACTCGGCACCTCCAGGCTCAGCACCCCCAGGCACAGCACCCCAGGCTCAGCACCCCCAGGCTCAGCACCCCCAGACTCGGCACCTCCAGGCTCAGCACCCCAGACCTCCGCACCCCCAGGCTCAGCTCCCGCAGCAGCACCAGAGTCACCAGTGACCTCGACAGGCTCGATCGCGTCTACCTGGGACACACCTGAAGGGGCAGGACCCTGAGGGGGAGGGGGACTACCGGGGGGGGGACCTGGGTACCAAGAAGAGCGGGGGGTGGGGGGAGGGACGGAGTGCGGTATGGGGAAGAGACGGTAGTAGGGTACCGGACTCGTCGAACGTGACGTCCTGGGAGGACAGAACCACGTCGAGAGGTGGGGTGGTAAAACTGCCACCCAGGGGCGTCGGGGGGGAACCCCAGGAAGACGCAGGGAGAAGCACGAGGGGGACAGGCTTGTCCGCTGACAGGTCGCGAACAAACGCCCGAGATCCCCAGACCCGGAACGCCGACGCATCGCCAACCTTCCCCGTCCACAGCAGGGCTGGGGAGGTCTCCGGTCGAGAGACCCTGGGGTGGAGGTTGACCTGGTGCGCAGCGTAACTGACCGCAAACGGCCACAGAAAATGGGGAGTCAGCCGCATGCATCATGGACGTACGAGCGACGTCCATGACCATGCCAATGCGGCGCTCAGCAATCCCATTTTGCTGTGGTGAGTCCCGGAAGCGTGAAGGTCTGACGGATGCCTCGCGCACGACAGTAGGCACTCAGGAGGCCAGAGGAGAACTCTCCGCTCTGTCCGAGTGCAGACGTAAAACAGGGAAGTCAGAGCCAAAGCTCCTCCGAAGCTGGAGACGAGCTGCGCGGATCCAGTCGATCAACACCTCAGTGACCTCACCCTTGCTGCGCAAGGGGAAGACTGTGGTGTAACGCGAGTAGTCGTCAACCACCAGCAGGAAGTAGCGCTCCTGACCCTGTCCACGGACGCGGGCTGGGCCCCACACGTCCATGTGAAGCGTCTGCAACGGGGCCTCTGTCGGAGGGAAACTGGGAGGAGTGAGGGGCAGCACGCTGGCGCCCCTCGACACAGGGGACACAGGTGGGGCCAGGGCCCGGAGGAAGGGGAGGGAGAGACCGGGGAAGACCAGACACAAGGACTCGCGAGGCCATGCCTCTGAGCCGAAGCAGAGAGGGGTGGCCAAGGCGGTGGTGCCAGAGGAGGGTCTCGTGAGACATACGACGACACGAGCAGGGGGGCAGACTCAGGACCAGACCTGGACGCTGCAGCAAACACCTGACCAGACGTAGGGACCCTACCAGACTCAGCACTGGAGGAGAAGCAGTGGTCAGTGTGTAGAGGCTCGACCCTGGCCGACGTGTAAACGTAGCCAGGTGGCGACCTGTATCCGCCTCCGTGCAGTGGGTCACCCGCTGACGAGCAGGGGTGAACTGGTGGACACCCGCATCCTGGAGGTCAGCACCACTCACCAAGTTCGTCGAGAACGAGGGGAGGTAGAGACCAGTCAGGATGCCAGAGGGGGCCGCCGGACACGGGAGGACAGTGGAGAAGCGAGACAGGACAGGCCCCCCCAGAGGGGTCAGCCAGGGACACCGCAACCGGCCGACTCAGCGGCGTGAGAGTGGTGCGGTCCCTAAAGAAGGAGCGAGACGCTCCAGAGTCAAGGGTGAAGGTGTGAGAGGCCGAAGCCGACACAGTACCTGAGAGGCAGACTCACCAGTACCTGAGAGCACAGACGCACTGGCACCTAGAGCAGCAGCCTCACTAGTACCTGACGCGGCAGTACCAATGCCCGGGTCAGGCGGGAAACACCGGTAACAGTCATCCTCATCACTACCAGTCACAGCATACATAGCAGAGAGAATAGCATCAAAATCAAGATCATAAATAGCTACACCAGCCCTAGACAGCTCTCCCCAGCGGGGGATTTCAGCGGCCTCCGGAAACTGCTGACGCCAGGCGTCGGTCAGGCGGCCAAAGCAGCGGCGGGCTGTGTGGGCGCCTCCACACCTCTCCCCTGCACGGTCACCTGTGCGAAGAACGTAGGGGCAGGGACCAAGCGCACCACCACGCTGACGCTGCAAGTACCACTCACGGAGCTGCTGAGGGCCGGGGACGGTGCGAGAGCGCTGCTGCTGCTGTGGCTGCTGCTGCGGCTGCTGCTGCTGCTGCTGCTACTGCTGGCGCTGACCACCCCCAGAGCTGCTCCGCTGGGACGAGCCACTCCGACCCCCGCCTCCACCGCCACCCCCGCCTCCACCGCCACCCCCGTCTCCACCGCCACCTCCCCCACCAGGACCGTCGCTCCCACCGCTCCCACCGCCTCCTCCGCTACCACCTCCGCCGCCACCTCCGCCTCCACCGCCGCCACGAGTACCTCCACTCCCACCACCACCCCCACCGCCACCCCCACTCCCCCCGCCACCCCCACCGCCTCCTCCACCGCCCCCTCTAGTTCCACCCGCTCCCTTGCCCCCTTTGCCCTTGCCAGAGCGGCGTCTGCCGCTGGGGGCAGACGCCGCGCCGACCGACCTCAAACCAGTGAGGTCGGCCGCAGCGGCAGAGGCGACAGAGGGCAGCAGGGGGGAAGGACCACACCCCTCAAAGATGGGGGTGCGAGGGTCACCCCGAGAGGCCCCTACAGCGACAATACTCTTCTCAGCCGCTAGCAGGGACTCCTCAAGGAGATCGACAGTGAGAGTGGTGGGACAGACAGAGAGAAACTGGTCCCTAACGGCACGAAGGGACTCAGGGAGACGGGTGACGAGAAAGTAGAGAGTGATGTACATGGGAGGAGGGTTCGCAGCGCGGAACTCAGCAGGAAGGGCAGCGCGGTAGCGGGTGTCACTAGCACGGAGGTGGGTAACGAGGTCAGCAACAGTGGGAAAGGAGGCGAGGTCAGGGAAGAGAAACGGTAGCATGAGGCGGCTAAGGGTAGCGGAGGAAGGGGAGGAGTAGCGTGCAACTACAGCGTCGTACAAGGCCCTGAGCGGTCTTGCACTGACTAAAGTGGGCACGCTCAGAGGAAGGGAGGGTGGCGACGCACAGCAAGACGTGCAGCAGCATCGCGGGTCGCCCACTTGGAGCGAACGGCAGAGTCAGCATCAGCAGGTGGGGCAGGGACAGCGCCAGAGACAAAGTCAAAGAGAGAGAACTCATCTATCGCATCACAGAGTAAGTACAGCTGCAGGTCTTCAATCCAGACGGCAAAGTCAATGGCCCTCCCCTCAGCGTCAAACGTAAGGACATTGGGGGTGGCCATGGCAGCAGCTGAAAGTCTCACCGGGCTGGGAGAGTCGGGTAGTGCAGCAGCAGAGGAACACAGCTCAGGGACAGCGGCACGGCTCGGGCGGCTCGGTGTTGCTGGGGCGGCGCGGGCGGCTCGGGCGGCTCGGGCGGCTTCGGGCGGCTGGGGCGGCTCGGGCGGCTCGCGCGGCTCGGGCGGCTCGGGCGGCTCGGGCGGCTCGGGTTGCTGGGGCGGCGCGGGCGGCTCGGGCTGCTGGGCTGTACGGGCGGCTCGCGCGGCGCTGGTGTCGCGACGGCGGCTCACTGGCGCTCGCGGGCTGGCTGCACAGGCGGCTCAGGGACGGCGGCGCGGGCGGCTCAGGGAGCTCACGGGCGGCTGCGACGGGCGGTTCGCGGGCGTCGGGGCGCCAGGGCGTTGGGGGCGACGGCGGGCGGTGCTCAGGCGGTCGGCGCGGGCGGCCGTAAGGGTGAAAGGGCGGGCGGCGCTCGGGCGCTAGGCGGGCGGCGGCCGGCCGTCAGGGCGCTCGGGCGAGTGGCGCACGGGCGCTAGGGCGGGCGGCCGTCAGGGCGCTAGGGCGAGCGGCGCTCGGCGCTAGGTGCGGGCGGTCGTCAGGGCTCTAGGGCGGGCGGCGCTCGGGCGCTAGGGCGGGCGGCGGCTCGGGCGCTAGGGCGGGCGGCGCTCGGGCGCTAGGGCGGGCGGCGCTCGGGCGCTAGGGCGGGCGGCGCTCGGGCGCTGGGGCGGGCGGCCGTCAGGGCGCTAGGGCGGGCGGCCGTCAGGGCGCTAGGGCGGTTGGCGCTCGGGCGCTAGGGCGGACGGCCGTCAGGGCGCTAGGGCGGGCGGTCGTCAGGGCGCATAGGGCGGGCGGCCGTCAGGGCACTAGGGCGGGCGGCCGTAAGAGGATGGAGCAGCGGGGAGCGCGACGGTAGGGGCGACACGCAGGGTCGCTAAAAAAAAAGGGCGCGCGCCTCGGGGCGCGCTTCGGTGGGCCCTAGGAACAGTCCCTAGGAGGGGACCTGCTCTGATTCCATGAGAAGAATTGAACGAGAATGAAATGAGTATGAACGAAGTGAGTACAAATAGGAAACCCTAATTGTGTTGTACCCCCTATGGGATACCCCACTATAGCCTACACAAACAAGTAAGCTATATGTTCTGACAGTTTGGCGGTATCTGCATGCTACAGGGCCAGGGGAAACCAGCGGAACCAGCATTTGGCTGGTTGGGCAAAGACAAAACAGGTTCTGTTTTTAGGACCTGAACCTGGTTGTTGTTTTTCCGGGTTGGAAAAACAGAACCAGAGGTTGTTTACCAACCTAGCACCTGCTGTTTTGTCCAGCCAGGTTGGTTCTGTTGCTTGGAATTATTTGGGATCATCCTTGGTTGTTCCCAGGTTTATTCCCAAGGTCCTTGCTAGCTATAACTAATTATTTTTCTCTGTTTGTACCTGGACATAGTGAAATTGATTCAAGCGAATTCCTTCCTTGCTGGAATTTCCTTTCTACGCGGTGCGACGGCGGAATGCTACCCGAGTCAACGCTAGTACGCTAGCACTCCAACGCTAGGCTAACGCTGTCCGAGCCATAACTTTGTAATGGCAGAACTTTTTGCGAGGCAACTTGGCTTACTTTAAAGCTCTTAGAGTGAGCTTCGATATAGGAAATTCTCAGCTTAATCCGATCGACGGTCTACACGATACGCTGCACGACGTTCAATGTACTCTTGCTGTTTTGACTAAGTCCCTCTTGATCCCTCTCTCTACAAACTCGGACCTGAGGATAGGGGCTGGTCTTGTACCAGGCACCCAAGGACCCTTGGAGGTGACCCCGAGGAGAGGTTTTAAGTTTGATAAAGTCTTAATAGCTTGAGTTTAATAGGTCCTTACACCAACAAGCTTGTATCAGAGCTACGTTATAGTGATCCTTGTTATAGGTAGCTATGGTGGGCAACACCTCGGCAATAGCTGGTGAATCTTCAGCCCAAGATCGTAGCGGCAGCCAAGATTCTGGTGTTTCTGCGCCAAGGGGAGCGCGAACAAGCCAGGGCTTGCTGATCAAGGAGGTGCTAAAAAACTTCACCGTCGAGAAGTTCAATGGTGAGGGCTATGATGATTGGGCCTGGAAAATGCAACTTTATTTCCGTCAGATCGGTTTGCTGAAACTAATGATTGGGGAGGAGCCTAGACCGAGTGACCCCGCTCTTCAGGAAGATTGGGACGAGCGCGCCTCGGCTGGCTACTACTTGATGTCGCAGAGTTTGGAGCTGAACCAGCGTCACCACGTCATGCACCTGCTGGCGGAGGTTGAGTGCGGTCCGAAGGCGTGGACGGTGTTGAAGGAGCTGCACGCCCCCGACCTCCGTTGTTGCAACATTGATGCTGGAGAGGGAGCTGTCCGCGTTGCGCCTGAGCGAGGGAGAGCCGGTGCAACCTGTACTGGGCAAATTGCGCGACCTCTACGCAGAGTTGGCGACCGCGGGAATCACCTACCCGGAGCAGACCAAGTGCCTGAAGATGCTTTCGCTGCTGCCGGAATCGTGGCTTCAATTCACGAGCGGATTGAGCCTGCCGCAGAACCAGAGCTCGTGGACACTCGAGTGGGTGCGGACAAAGATTCTAGAGGAGGACTTCCGTCGCCGTCAACTGAGGGGTGGAGACGACGGCAGCAGCGGCTACGGGATGCAAGGGAGCCGACATGGCAAAGGACGTGGCTTTGGTGGTGCTGGACGCGGTGCAAACAAAGACGACGACTCCAACGACCAACAAGGAGGTACCGGTGGGGGTCGCGGTGCGAAATCTGGACGTGGGGACAAGTCGGGTGCTGGTGGCAAAATGAAAGGGAGTTGCTGGTATTGTGAGGAGGAAGGGCACCCCTGGTTTTTATGCTATAAAAACCCGATGGATGGACCCCCCCAAAATCGTCACCAGGATGGCGGCGCGCGGAGGAACCAGAAAAACGGTGCCAACATGGTCGCTGATTCGTCCAACAAAACCCGAAGGGCAACGGCGGTGCGGAGAAGAAGAAGGAGCGCACCGCGGGCCAATTCTTTCATATGGGAGACAAGGGGGAGCAAGGAGATGCCTCTGCCAAGGTTGGAGCAGAGCTGCATTCCCTGGATTATTGGGTGTTGGACACGGGCGCTGCTTGGACGATGACGATGCGAAAAGACCTACTGGACCACATACAAGCTGCACGAATCAACGAGGTGTGCTCCGCCTCTGGACACGCGCTGAAGGTGGCTGGTGCGGGACGAGCTGCGTTTAAGGGAGCGGATGGCAAGCCAGTGGTGCTGCACGACATTCTCCTTGTTACTGAACTCAAGGCTAACCTCATCTCCCTCCGTAAGCTTGGCAAGGCTGGGAAGAGCACTAGCACGGATGGGGCACGCACTTACAAGGGGCAGCTGGGCAATTGGGTGCTTTGGGATCTGCACGAGAGTACGGACATGTACAGATCCATGTGGCAGCTACCGGCGTTGGCGTGGCATGGTGGGGGGTAGGCTGGAGAGGGTCTGCATCCCAGGAGGAGTGCAACGCCGTTGGAGGGGTTGGTGTGAATGTGTCGGCCAGATCTGGGGAGACGGATTGGGCAACTGCACACCAACATTTGGGGCATGTGGCAATGCTTTTGGTGAAGCAGCTGGAGATGGATTAAGCCGTTTAAGGGCTTGAAGATGAACGGACAACCACCCGATGATAACTGTGAAATTTGCCTCCTTTCAAAGTTTACCCGTTTCCCCTTCCATAGTGGGGCTGCAGGAGCAAAAAGCCGTTGGAGCTGGTCCACATGGACTTGGTGGGGCCGCTGCCGGTGCAAGGGCACAAGGGGGAGCGGTACTTCCTAACCATGGTGGATGACTGGAGTAGGCTAATGTGGGCGTATCCACTGAAGCAGAAAGATTATGCCACCTCTACGATTCGGGACGATTGGCTGCCGTTAGTGGAGAAGCAAGCGGAGTGTGTGGTGAAGCGGATTAGGACAGATCGGGGTGGTGAGTTCCTTGGAGCTGAGATGACGGCCTGGCTCAAGAAGCAGGGCATCCAGAGGGAGCTGACCACGGCTTACACCCCACAGTCCAACGGTGTAGCAGAACGGGCGAACCGGACAATTCTGGAGACAGCTAGGGCGCTGCTAATAGAATCTGGGCTGGGCAACTTGATGTGGCCCCATGCTGTTCGGCACGCTACCGTCGCTAGGAACAGGGTACTCACAAAGGTTGGGGATGACTCGTGGGTGCCGTTGGAGAGGTGGCTTGGGAGAAAGCCGCCGGTGGACATGCTGAGGGTGTTCGGTTGCATGACAGTTGCCCACATCCCCAAGACCTACCGCAGTAAGCTGGGGGGCGAGTGCAATCTGGTGTGTGCATTTGGGGCTGGCTACTGAGAGCAAGGGATGGCTGCTGTGGGAGCCTTCCAAGGGTGAGTTGTTTGACAGCAGGGATGTGAAGTTTGTTGAGGGCATGATGTATGGGAGCTGGGAGAAATAGCCGGAGGCCAGGGTGTCCCAGCAAATGGAGCAGATCACCATGCAGCTGGACCTGACTCCTAGTGTGTGGGAGGAGGGAGAGGAGGCAGCTGTAGAGGGTGGTGATGGAAAGAAGGTACAGGAGGCACTTGCTGGTGGAGAAAATGATGTGGAGACTGGCACTAGTGGAGCTGCTGGATCTGAGGGGAGAGAGCAGCAGCAGGGGAATACTAAGAAGCCGAAGGGTGTCGTTATGAAGGGATGGGAGACACCCGTCTCCAGGCCAGGACGTACCCGTATGGCTACTAAGAAGCTGACTGCAGGAGCAGATGTAGCGGAGCAGAAGCTTGGGACCAAGG